GGGGGCAGCCCCAGCTGACCCTTGACCCCAATGAGGACAAGCACTATCGAAAATGGTCATGAGGAAGTGAGAGTGTGTGACTTGCGGATTTCCAGACCGGAGAGGCTGCTCCAGGTTCTGTTGATGTCCCTGAGCGCTTGCTTCTCGGCGATGGCCCGCTTGATCTCATCCAGGACCAGGTTGAGCTCTTTGGAACGGCGCAGGTTTTCCTGCTCGGCCGAGTGCAGGCGCTCCCTCAAGGCCAGGAATTCCCGCTGGTAGATGTCCACCACATCTCCTAATTGAGCCACACAACATGAACAACATGTCAAGTCAAGTCCCAAATCATAAATGGGGTACCATGTCCATGTCTCTGGTGCCTGACATAGCATCAGCCTGAAAGACTGCAACATGGACAACAACATGGTCATGATCATGGTCAAGAATATAGCCCAGACGATAGATCAGAACAGAGAGCTGAGTATGGACTAGAATACAAACTACGCTATAGAACCATACAACCCAACGAATGGAGAACAGACTATGGACGATAACTGTGTCAGACCATAGCCAAATACCAGACCAGGCCCAGAACATCAACTACACCATGGACCAAAACTTAGACCTGATTATGGACTAAAATATATAGCAGAGAGCACTCAAAAATTCATCATTGGTCGCCCGTGATTAAAATTTGTTCAACTGATGGCACTTTCTCCTCTTGTCCATGAAGTAAAGAAACCACCACATTTTCATCATATGTATGTTTTATATAACAACATTCAAAAGACATTTTTTTCCACTGTGTGAACAAGAATACGGACAAGGCCAATAGCCAAGATCATTAATCACAAATTTGACTAGACTATGGATGAGAGCATTGTCAGACCATCGCCAAGACTATGGACCAGAACATATGGAAGACCATAGAACAAAGACCAGCACCTGAGCATTGATCAGAACACACGATCGACCAGAAAGACTACAGAATAGATTGTAGGCACACAGATCCCAACATAACCAAGAACATAGACCAGAATTTAAGGAAGGATATGACCCAGGACCCTGCTCGACAATAGGAAAAAGACCAGACCAGGAACCGCAACATTGGCCAAACTATGGACCAGATCATGAGCCAAAATGTAGATTTGACCATGAATCAGGACACAGACCACACTAAGGATCTGGTTATAGACAAGTAAAAAACAAGTACGCCCCATCATAGCCAAGACCACATGGCAGGATGTAGACCAGAGTATCCACTATGCTAGAACATAGGTCTAAACAAAGCTGTAGACCATAACATTTACCAGACTTTGGGTCAGAATTTAGCCAAATTCATCAACGCATAGACCTGGAAATAGTCCAGATCATGGACCAGAACATTGACCATACCAGGGACCAAAAGATAGCCTGACTTTGGACCAGACAATAGACCAGACTATGAAACAGAATATAGACAAATCATAAAACAGACAGACTTAAACATTGCCATGTCAAAGTTTTCTGAATCTGAATCTGAATGTCCATAGACCTAAATAGGGATGAAAACATAGGTCAGAACACAGAGCAGGACATTACCCCAGACCATGGACCAGACTTTTTGTCATTGTCAGTAGTACTAAATAAACAAGAATGTGACATGTACTAACATCTGTTTTCCCATGTGGATTAAAGTGAATAGACTGAGTTGACATGACAGTCCATTTATGAGGATGAGTGCAGTTAGTGGATTACATGATATTTATTATGCACAGTATGGACTGAATGTATGTGAGTGAGTGGTCCTAACGTGAGAGTCCTATAAGCAGCTTTCATGTCATCAAAGAGCAAGAAAAACATGATTCCAGGAAAGTCAAACGTTGTTAAATGGGACCATGAAAGGCAAAGCATCAAAACTATTGCACATGCTCTAGTGCAGAGATCTGCAATCAAAATTTGGACAGGTCTGGTTGCAAGGTTTTCTCATGGCAAAAGTCAGTCATAGCTCACACACACACACACACACACACACACACACACACACACACACACACACACACACACACACACACACACACAATCAGGTCATTGTTTCCAAAGGGATGATTGTCATGCCAAAGATTCAAATGTGGTGCCAACGTGTGGACAGCAGCCAAGCTGGAAAGGTTTTCAATATTTACAGCTGACCAACTGGAGTTTTATTACTGTGACTTTCAACACGTTTCTGAAGTATTTCGGAAGTGTTCTATGGAAGTATTTAAGATGCATTGTGTAGCTGGGTGGGACAGCTCATTTCCTCTATGCACCAAGCATCCATTTCCTGTTGGCATAGCGGCGTGGCTGTACTTCCTGTCTATAAGATCATGCTTTCCTGTGTGCCTATGCTCGCGCAGTCACATCAACATGTGTTGTGTTGCCGAGTGACCAGCGAGGGGCGGTCGGTCAGCAGATCACCAGCATGTCGGCATCCAAGATGACGGCATAGCGTGTGACCCAGGGCATCAGAGTTCAAGCGTTTGAACTTAGCTGAAGCTTGACAGCACTTGACCCTGAAGTGACCTTCCATCTGATTGGTTGATGGGGATGCGGTTGCCATGGTGACCGCACCTCGATGATGCACGCACACACGCATATTTGGAGATGCTCGTCTTCAGCAGGTGATTTGAGAATGGAAAAAAACAAACAAACAAAAAGGACGCTCAATCCATTATTTGTCTAGGCGCCCTGAAATGGACTGGAGACCAGTCAAATGGAGGGTGTATATGTGGCCTGATATTGTGTGGCGACCACCTCTGCCATTTCTCTCGACACTCCCTGAGGTTAACTGGCGACCAGTCCATTTCTCCACAACCACACGGCCTACACAGCTGCCGACCGGTATACTGCATCCCTTGTGTGCCTGCCGTGTGTGTCAAGGCTGTTAAACAGGAAACGAGCCGAGACGCCGAACAGAGCATCACTGTTCCAAACGTCTCAAGTCCATGCAGACGCCTGAAGGCCGCCTCAAGCGCCACGCCTGTCACAACCTGCCAGTCACTATTCCACAACACCTTCTCTCAGAGGAGGACGAGACCGGACTGGACTGGACCAGACTGGATCAAAGTGGATTGAATTCAACTCAGCTGCAGTGACATGTGTCTCCAATAAGCGGCGACTAATCAACATTTTCACTCAGACCGTCGCTCCTTGAAATCTTTGGAGTTTTCATTATGGTTGGTTTTTATTTCATTTTGACTTCTATTTTTGTCATTCAGCTCCATTTTAATTAGTTTTTAGGGCGGGTTTGTTAGTTTTTATTAGCGTGCATTTTCTTTGAAAGTTCTTTGTTTTAGTTTAGTTTTTATTAGTATTAGTTCGAGTTTTTTTGTTTCTAACATATAGAGTATTTGTTGAGTGTAAGATTTTTAAAAAAAGTCATTAAGTATGTTGTAATAAAGTAAAGTAAACTATAATTCTCAAACGACTGTTTGACCTTCCTTCTTCTCTCGGGCCAGATGGCAGTCATGATGTTGAGTTTCATTCCTTACTCCTGAATCACAACAAAGTATTTTCATACACTGGGCTTGAGATGGTGGATTCGTCTCAGGCTGAAATGATTCAGCAGTGGTGTCCAAACTGTGACCCAGGGGCCATTTGCAACCCATAAATGAGTCCCTAGCAGCCCTTAGCATATACAAAAATAACTTTCCACATGGCCTGGGTGTTGAAAAAGTGGGCCGGTTGTGACATCCGCCTTCGCAATGTGAATAGCGATTACGAATCCAACGCTGAAGATAGAGTTCTTCTTTTTGCTTTCTAATGCCTCATGAATAAAAATAATTTTGTTTCAGTGGACAAAAATGTCTTCCTCCACTTGCTGCTGTTTATGTCAAGGTCGGATCACATGAATGAATCATGAAGACCCTCGAGTAAACACTGCTTTAAAAATGGTCATCTTATTACAAATGACTCTTGCTTTGCTTCAGAATGTGGTGATCTGCTCCGGGCAGGGGCAAGGGTGGCTCTATTCTAGCGAGATATGGGCCTACGGCCAACATCTAAAAATGGAAAAAGCCTAATTCTTATCACTTTTAACAGAGGTTAAAAATGACCCCCCCCCCCAAAAAAAAAGCTATAATAACTATATTACACAATTACTTGATTGTTGGAGAATGTCGAACCAGCCCTCGAATACTTTTCTGTATGCGGCTCTTGGAAGAAAACAATTGGACACCCAGGCATTAAATGCATTCATCAAATTCTCCTTAATCAATACATACGGATGTTGATATAATGGACTTATAGTGGACAGTCATTCCATTTGTGTGTGCGTGTGTGTGTGTGTGTGTGTGTGTGTGTGTGTGTGTGTGTGTGTGTGTGTGTGTGTGTGTGTGTGCAGTATATGTCTGTGTGTGTGTGTGTGTATATGTCTGTGTGTGTGTGTGTGTGAGCTTTAACATGGTCATCGATTACTGCGTGTGCACACACTCAAGGGGGGTGTCACATTCTCAAGTAAAATGAACCGTTCACCCAGTCTCGTTTGGCTCCTAACCAACACACAAACACAAGTGTGCATGTCACCATCTGGCACACACACACACACACACACACACACACACACACACACACACACACACACACCCACACACGCGCCAAAACACACACCCACACACACACACACACACACGCGCGCGCACACACAGACAACAAACACACACATACACACAGATGGTTTGTCAGTAGGAGGAAGAGGAGCTGATTTTTCATCTTGAGTTGGTCTCTTCAAGCCGACCAAATGTTTCTTTCGACATTAGTGGTTTCATCATCACACGCAGAACAAGTCGCGCTGCTGGAGTGTCATTCAATCACGCTTATGAAGTTGATTCGTTGCCCGTATAAAAGAGGTGAAACCTTCAAGATGAAAGCTGAGCTCTCGTCAAATATTTATCACTTCTTACTCACGCGCACGTACAGCGGGGCGTGTTGGTTAATTTGTGAGTGTGTGTGTGTGTGTGTGTGTGTGTGTGTGTGTGTGTGTGTGTGTGTGTGTGTGTGTGTGTGTGTGTCTCTTTGTTGTCATGCAGCATTTATGAGCGCAAAAACAAGAATGGATGCAGGAAGCAACAAGTCGTCATAGAGACTGATGAGCCTCCGGAGGACAATTACAACTTTCCATTTAATACTGCACTCACACACATGCAATGACACACACACACACACACACACACAACACTACAAAGTGAGTCATTTAATGCAGCAAAACATCCACATAAAACTATCAACGTGTTCAAAACTCTTTCCATGACGCTCGGGCACACACGTACACCTACACTAAGTTGGTGTGTACATGAACAATGTCGAGCTTTGGTTTTAATGTGGTTATAAGCTGAAGTGTCAGGTCTCTTACAGCCCCTGGATACGGCATCACAATACTGATTATATTTAGATCATGTGATGAGCCTTTAAATATACTTCTAAAAACACACACACACACACACACACACACACACACGCACACACACGCACACACAACCTTTAAGAGGACTTTGACTTTTGCACTTGCAGCTCACATGTTTGGTGTCAATCACCTCCAGTGGAGTCACATTGCAATTAATCAACAACAACAAAAAAGATATAGAAACAAATGTATTGTTGCATTAATGAATTGATGTGTGTCTTTAAGTCGCGTGGCCAACTCAAGCCAGACTCAGTTGCAACGGCTCCATGCTCCTTGCAAGTGTTGCCATGTTGAAATTGGATTTTTGATTGACTTGTCCTTTGCCATACACGACTGAAAGAGGCGACTCTTGCTCTCCTTGCCTGCATGCCAGGACATTACACTCGAGGGACGTCATAACTGAATCTCACTCATAATTCATATTTTGCCTTGCAACACAAAGCAGAAAACTTGCAGGTGAGTGGACAAACTCCTCAGTCGAGATTCCACTGTAGCGTTTGCCAACTCATTAGAACTGATTCCTGGGAACGTTGGAGGAAGAAGGTGTTAGGTTTTTGGCGTATGCCGCACTCACGCAATGGAAGGAGAAATGTTGACGTGCTTTGTCCAGGATTGTTTAAGCGCTGTAGTTTGTTTGCAGCCAGGGACAGGGGAAAAAAAGCACCCGAGACCAAAGTCAGCAAGCATGCTTGTCTGAACTTGCAGAGCGCACACAAACACACACACACCCACACACACCTCACCCCAATACTCGCCTCTACCTTCCACAAGCCTGCTAACCCCCCCAGAGTCAAACACAGTCTGTGTTGTTAACAAGTCAAGCTTACTTTCTTTTTGGAGGGCAGCCACTGAAGGTATAACACAGTACAGCATTGTCAACATCACACACAGACACGCACGCGCACACACATTGACTTTTGAAATGTAAGGCTGCCATACACAAAATACACATACAGTATATTGGCTATGCTGGGAATCATTTACTTATTCCCTATATAAGGATTTTTACTGTATATAATAGACCTCCACTGTTCCATCACTGGAAATCACACTATTAATTGAATAGAGTGAACCCCCGCTGTTTGCGGGGGATCGGAACCTGGCTATCTTCTTGTGAATAGCAAATAATCACTTAATATTGATGCCCATCATTATTATTATTATTATTCTTAAACCCACGCAGGCACAGGGAGAACATGCAGACTCCACACTGGAAGGCTGGAGCTGGAATATCGAACCCTGCACCTCTGCAGTGTGAGGCCGAGGCGCCAGTATGTATACACAACCCTTATGAGGATAAGCGGATCAGAAAATGGATGGATAGATGATAGGTGGGGGTCCATTGTACTCCCTAATCATCATGAAGGAGGGATTTTGATATAGTGGACTACACTGTTGTCTCTAAAATTGAAACAATCAATGGAATAAGGAATCAGGAATGAGCGAATCCTGCATTTTGAATCATTCATCATTCCCTTACCATCAAAAGAATGATTACTCAACAACAGTGCAAGTTTGGCCTCTTCAGTGATTTTCTGACTAAACTGAATACGACAAGCAGGCTTTTTGTAGTCCTTGTGGACAGGAAGAGTAGAGTCGAAATCATTTGAAAGAGCCCTGCCTTTTCTTCCCTCCGTTCCACCTTTTCATCTTGACCTTTTTCAACAAAATTAGAAAGGCAGCGTAAATGTTTACAGACTGCACTACCCCAACACCGCTTACCATTTTGAAGCTAGCAGCCGTCTTGACGTGCCAAGCCATTAGCATGGTGGTGTCGTGACACTCAGGTGTGGAAGTGTCACGTGCTTCTCACAAGTCTTTGTGTCAACGTTCGTGCTCACGTGATGTCATCCGTGGACGCCCGCCAAAAAACACATCTGTCGCCACCCGGATGGTATGCGGCGCATCCCAAAACAAGCCCCCCCATGGAAAAACTTGTCCCCTGATATGTTGCGCACATTGGAGTTATCCCAGCCGGAAACATCTGCGTGCAGCAAACACACACACACACACACACACACACACACACACACACACACACACACACACACACACACTCACTGACACACGGATGCAGACAATTTCTCTCTCACACGTGCGAACTGACATCCAAATACACTGAAATACACAAACACTCACAGTTGCAAGCCTCTCTCTTTCACACAAACAAATACTCACAAACACATTCAAAGATTGACACAAAAATACACAATACATTAAAACAGTAACACACACACACACACACACACACACACACACAAACACAGGAGCACACATGCTCTCTCACACTCTCTTACAAATGCACATTGACAAATAGACATAAATTTGTGCGCGCACGCACACACACACACACACACACACACACACACACACACACGCACACACACAATACACCGCTCCAGTGTTGCTGCCCTCAACATGGCCAACTCTCCATTCCAGCTGATGTCACAGCAACTGTGTGAGCTCCCCTTTCCCCGGCCAGTTGCTGTACGAATAACCAAGTGATCCCTGGAGACGATAGTATTGGTTGCATCTCAATCAAAGCACCAACTGTCATGTGCAGCACCACAAATCAAACGCTTCTTCTTTGTTGAGTAGGCACTTGTTGTTTCTCTCTCCCCACATTGACGCATTTTGTGCAGTGGAGCAAAACAAGCGCACCCCCTTGCCTCCCTACCAGGCTTTTTAACTTCTCCACTGAGGCAAAAGGAAGCACTCCTCTGGAACACAGACAATCACACAGATGCTGCAGCAGGCCGGCACGTGCTGTGGGGCAAACCAAGCGCTTCATTAATGACCTCCAAGGTCATTTCTTCTCCTCAAGTCCGGCATGTACATTATTGCTAAGTGACAGTTCTACTAGTGTGCCTTCATTATTCAACTATTGTTCTTTACGGAGAGCCAGTTCACCATTTATCTGATTTCTTTGTACTAGAATGCTTTTTGATTTCAAAAAATGGACAACTTTGGGATACTAGTAGGACATGTTACGAATGAGGCAATACTGTAAGTGCGCATTTTGAGGCGACTAGTTTGTGACACATGCCAACTAGTGCAACAATAGTGGAGTCCAGTCGTTTACACCAGTAAGGTTGAACTGGATTCTAGAAGCCAAAAGTGGCACTAGCGGCGGGGAAAAAAAAAATAGTACTATTAAGACAAAGTTGTTCTAGTAGCGTGCTTTACGAAAAATATTATGCTTTTTGATGTGACTTAGACGACAACTTTTTCATACTTCTAGAACTACTACATAAGGCAAAACAACAAGTTGGCATTTAGATGCTATACGAGGCTCCTGAAGGCTTCTAGTGTGTGACACAGGCGAAATATTTGTCCCGAAGACAAATTTGTTCTTCTGATGTGCTGAATTATTTACTCGTGAGGACAAAGAGGGTTCCAATACGTGGACCTTAAGTTGGATATCAGGGATGTTCGCTTTCCATCTTTTCTGGCCTTTTTTCATCTCCACCTCAATGGCACTTGCCACGCCCCCAAACAAGGATCCGATACCCCCGTCGCCCCCATTGTCGGCCCAGCGTGGAGGGTCATGTCTCCCTAAGCCCCCCCACCTCACCTGACACCAACAAACCAAGCGCTCCCCCGTCCTCTTCTGTCATGAATGGAGCGCTCCCTCCCTCGCCTGCAGCCTCACTTCTTCTTCATCATCATCAGCACCATCTTCTGCTCTCTTTTCTTCCCGAGCCGTGCAGGCGTGCGTGCGTGCGCGTGTCACGTGTGCGCAAGGGTTCTTACCTCTGGAGGAGCTGAAGGCGGTGTACCAGGACAGCGAGACCAGCCCGCAGAGTCCAAACAACAAGAGCGTCAAGAAGGACACATTGCGGAACCTCATCTCCACACCGACCTCAGCATGTCCGCACCGAGAGGGGGGCGGGTCGCAAAAGGGGAAGGGGGGCAGCGATTGAGCGAGGGACGAAGGAAAGGAAAGATGCAAGGAAGGAGAGGAGGAGGAGGAGAGAGAGAGAGACAGGTAGACAGATTGTAGAGCGAGTTCGGGCGAAAGAGAAAGAGGTGTTGATGTGGAGGCAGCATCCGCGAGAATGACGATAGACGAGGGAGGGAGGGAAAAGAGCAGGAGAGGAGGGGAGAAAGAAGCGAGGGAGGAGCCTGAGAGGGACAAAACAGGTAGGCGGACGTCGATTGGTTTTAGTATATTTTGTACGTATTGAACGTTCATCTTCTGTGGCTTCTACGTTGGCCGTGTTTGTCCACTTCACTTCCATTAAAGAAATAAAACAAACAAACTAACAAACACATTTTAGCTGCAAACGCAACTTCTCAAACCGAGGAGGATTTTTGTCTGATGTTTGAGACTTTTTAGTCTGTCACTTTCGGAAGGTCGCAAAATGAATCCTTTGCACGTTTTTATCTTCATTGTATTGCATTTCATGTTGACATCTATTTTCCTTGCAAAGAGTAATGTTCATCTTACAATTATTTAAACTATCTTTTTTTAGGTTGCACTTTACTTTTCTCGAGGATTCAGCCCTGATTTAAATGGTAAATTACAGTACATCACAAGAAACAATAACATGCTCTGGTCAATCTGAAATAGGGCATCTTTATTTTTTTATTATTTTTTTTCCACAATTAAAAACACTTACCAAATGTACTGTAATCACAATTTTTGGCTTGCGTTCGACAAGAATGAAGATGACATACATTTTTTTACAGAATATTTCGTGCCATGGCGGCATTGACACGTTATAAGTGTGGACCTGTCTCATTTCGGTGCGCCAGCGCCCTCATACACACGGAAATATGAGTTATTGCAGGAATTTTTTTGTCATGAATGCCCTCTATAAAATACATCGAAAAATAGTTGATCAAACAATTTACTGGTTTACGATTTCAAAATTAGCTGTCCATCGTTTTGTTTTGCATGTATGAGAACAAAAGGCTAGCACACATTTATATAGGTTTGCAGTAATAACAGCCCTTCAAGGGAACCATAAGATGTAGCCCGTGTTAAAAATGAGTTTGACACCCCTGCTACACACACACACACACACACATACACATACTCACATACACACACGCGCATACACTCGTACACGCGCACACACACGCGCACACGACGACAGTACATACACTAACACGCACACGCGATTCATACACTCCCATTGACTTTTGCGGAGTCACGCTGACACCACGTGGCCAAATTCCGTAAGTGCAGCTCAGCGCTTGGTGACAGGAAATTACAAGGAAATGCTCTTGACAGACACTTCAATAATACAGTATATTCAGTAAGAAGTGACGTCATCGTGTCGGAAACGAAAGTAGGGAATGGCAAAGGCAGGAAGGACGTGACGCATTTATTCTCTTTCAATGAACGCTGCGAAGAAGACGGCGGAAGTAGCAGCTCGTTTTCCACTTGTTACCGTCTGCGTTTTTGTTTTCGTGCTCCATGCACGGACATATATATCAGTAGGCCATATATACTTGCGGGACTCAATCGTGAACGCTAGCAGCGTGCACGCGCTTTATATCACGTGACCCCCAACCCTCCGGCCCCAAGGCGGAAGTCTTGAATCGTGACCATTCACTGCGCGCGCGAGCGAGACCCGGCCGCGCGAACGCGATCGGGATCTTGTGGAAGCAAATTGGGCGGGACCCACGCCGGCTTGCGACGTCACAGCTCGAAGGTACCCTCGTGGACCCAAACGCGCTCGTGTTGAACTGTCGGGCTTCGAACGCGGTGGGCATGGACGTTTAATACTTTTGTTAAAAACGTCATGCGTGACATGACGTGACGTGATGTTTGTGACGTGACGTGACGTGACGCGAAGCATGGCGGACGGCAGTCCGGCTCGAGCGGAATCTGTGGACAGTAGCCGGAACGTGACGGAGAGTCCGCCGGGGACCAAGAAACGCCAGCAGGAGTCTTGCGCTCTTGGTCACAGCTTCAAAAGGGTGACGCTCACCAAGCCCACTTTCTGCCACCACTGCAGCGACTTCCTGTGGGGGCTGCTCGGCTTCCTGTGTGAAGGTACAGCACAACATACCAACAACATGTCAACAACATGTCAACGGTCACCACAATTACGTTTGTGTCGTCAAACGTCGTTACTCTGATTTAGATTCTGAACTGCCACTTTCAATATCCTCGCTGTGTTTTCAAATGTTATCAATGTCTTTCCGTTGTGTTTGCATGTCTAGACTGAAATGAATCCATCAATCGGCCCACTGTTTTTTTGTTGCAAACGTCCTAATCGTGTCTTCAAATAGCTATTTCTCACTCAAAAACGTGTGTAGTTTTTGATCAGCACAATGATATCAGCTTGCATTTTCAATGTTATCAATTAGTTTTGGAGAAATCGATGAATAACTAACTACTCTCAAAAACGCTCCTTTCTCGACAGCAATATAGCCGCGCCTCCCTTCCACTTCCCAAAGTCTTGGTGGGAGTCAGCGGAGGAACCGGACACAATTTGTCCATTTTTAAAATCACTGTACATACATCGTTCATAATTTCGAAAAACGATGATCAATTGCCACCAAAATTTATGTGGACATTTCTACTTATGCCCAATTCAACCTCTGGAAATAGCATAAGGCCCATGTCTGATTCATAAGTGATTGATGAAATTAGCAGCTTACATATTTCATACAATTTCTGCAGATTTGCTTTCTTTGAAAAGTTCCCAAGATATGAACAAAGCATTTCGAGAGGCTTTTCGTAAGCTGATTTATTCATAGGTCATAGTACAAATTTAATTCTTGAAGTGTTAGCTTGACTTTTCAACGAAAAAGAAACTACCGGTATTCTTGAGAATAACACACATTTTTTTGCTGAAAGGAAATCACGAAAGATTGAGGGATAGTATTATACACGAGTGCACGCAGTGTTTTGAAAATTCACCCCATTGATGTGTGTGATCAGTGTTTCCTAACTTTTACTGAGCCAAGGCACACATTTCATATCAGAAAAAAAATCACCATTTGACAGAATGATCCACAAAAACTTAATTCACAGGTTACCTTTGTACCTTCTGTCATCTAGTGGAAGAGCATTTAATTGTTTTGCCTGTTACATGGTTAGCATAGATAATTTGTGCGAGTATTGTAATGTTTTGTTGCTTTTCGGAGCAATTTCCAAGTCATGATTAAAAATTAGGACGCACGTTCCATGTTGTCAGTCGTGGCATGTAGTGCCAAGGGGAAAAAAAACGCCAAGAAAACTAAACATGGAAAATGGCGATTGCTTGCGCCGCGGAGAGTGTGGCGCCCACTTCTGACATATGCCTGGTGGCTCATACACACAAAACCTTCTTATGATCTCGATCAATGTCTCCAAATATCTCTCCTATGCTTCCATGTTCACAGCATGTCTTTAAATGTCCTCACTGTCTTTTTAAATGTCCTCAATGCACTTTCAATTGTTTCACATTAAAAGTGGTCCTCACAAAGACACACAACGTGTACACACATGTTCTGCCCAGTAACACACGCGTTGTCCGTCATCCGTGTGAGGAGCAGAATGTGAAAGTGTGTGCTTGTGTTTCTCAATGTGAGAAGCAGTTCTCTTGGATCCTCTGGTCGTCATGGAAACAGAAGTCTTAGTGTGTGTGTGTGTGTGTGTGTGTGTGTGTGTGTGTGTGCGTGTGTGTGTGTGTGTGTTGGTGTTGGTGTTGGTGTGTGTGTGTGTGTGTCCTTGGCCAATGAAAATGTGTCTTTTGTCACATGATACCAAATTGTTGTTGAAGCTTCTCTGTTGCCATGGTGATAGCATTACCATGTGTTGTGCCTTAAATACAAACCCAATTCCAATGAGGTTGGGAAGTCGTGTTAAAGATAAATAAAAAGAAAATGCGATGATTTGAAAATCATGTTACACCTGTGTTTAATTGTATACATGTTAAAACTTATAAACTTTTTTTTTTCAAATAATCATTGAATGTCCTCTGTTGGCTTAGTGATGTCTATCGTTTTTAAATCTACCTTGCCTTGGCAAAATGTGTCTTGTTTGAAATATGCCCTCTGTTGTCATGGTGATGTGTGTTCTGTGTCAAAGGTGTCTTTTGATTCTATGGTTAAACATATACAGTACTGCGTGTTCTCTTCTGCGTTCTCCTCAGTGTGCAACTTGATGTGTCACGAGAAATGTCTGAAGACGCTTCGCTCGCTGTGCTCCAGCATGGCGCCCTCTGCCGTACGGGTGAGTAGCGCATTGTCGTCATTCTCATTGTTGATGACATCACACGATGACGCCGCAGTGTTCACGTTAACGCCTACAGATCCCCGTGGCCCACTGCTTCGGTCCGGACACTCACAAGAGGCGCATGTGCTGCGTCTGCAGGAAGCAGACGGAGGGAAACGGCGCTCTCCGTTGCGAAGGTCAGCCCAATTTTGGTGGTTCCACAGCCAGCGGGCACTCTCTTTGAGACAATCGGCAGCTGCCAGCTTTGCTAAATGTCTTGCCAGCCCTAGCTATCGTCAATGAATCTGTCAAGAATAAATTAGCAAATTTAAAATTTCAATGTCCGTATAAGCTTTTTCATCACCAGTTTAGAATTTACTCCCGCACTGTTCCTCCTTTTAAAACTCCTTCACTCCCGGCCATTTTAGGGCATTTTGACATTTTCAAGACCCATCGGCTGTTGTGTTCAAAGTTCAACTGAACCTCCAGGCACCCCTTTGCCACCCCCGGTAAACTTGTCTAGATCCGCCCCTGGTTATTGAATATTTGATGAATTGTTCCACCTCTAGATAGATTTTCATTTGTCCTGGATGCTAAGAGCACACTCAAACAAGAGATGCTCTTGCTCTGGTTTCAGTGTGCGAGCTGCACGTGCACGCCGACTGCGCCGCCTTCACGTGCGCCGACTGCCGCTTTTGTCACGTGGACGGCACTCGGCAGCAGGTCAGTGACCGCCGCTCACCCGGGGGACTTCCCGCGATGCGCTTTATTTGGAAAATGAACGTATTCCGCCCATGGCGGTTGCATGTGCCCACAGGACACGTTTCACCACCACTGGCGGGAGGGCAACCTGGCGTCGGGCGCGCGTTGCCAGCTGTGCCGGCGCTCCTGCGGCTCATCCGACGTTCTGGCGGGGATGAGGTGCGAGTGGTGCGGCGTCACGGTAAGAAGTGCCTTCCTGCCGTAGGCGGAGGTAGCTGCGCCCGTGGGGGTCGGGGGGTGTCATAAAGTGCAAGTACCTTCTCACAGTACTTGAAATTGACTTTTCTTTCTGACAACTTTCACTTTTCCCTCCCTGCATTTGACTTCTGCACTTTTAAAATAGGCGGGTTACTTTTTTTTTTCCCTGCTTCAACTTAAGTACAGAGAGAACTTTTGCCCGTTGTGAGTAGCGTTCGCCGCCATCTGTGTTGACACTTGTTTCTCACCCCCGCAGTGTCACGCGGCGTGCTATCTCAGGGTAGCGCCGCAGTGCACCCTGGGCCGTCTGCGCCGCATGCTGCTGCATCCCTCCTGCGTGCGCCTCCAATCTAGAAACTTCAGCAAGCATCACTGCTTCCGCATCACGGAGACTGGCGGCCACGAGCTGGGTATGTTCCCGCCGTAGTTCCTCATTGCCTGGCATCTCTGCTTTCGTCACGCCTGCCCGCCTTTTTTCCAAATTGAATGGAGTTAAATAGCGGATTTTATCGTTTTGATTTTGACACCAGTGGCTTATGCAGGCCTAATGAGAATGAGTTGACAGTTTTTATAATGATGAAATAGTTAGGACCAGACGTCTCCCGCAGGGCCACATAAAATGAGGCAGGGTGTCTCATCCGGCTCACAGGCCATGAGTTTGACACTCGTGTCTTAAATTGTCATAATGTTGATAATATTGTTCTGTTATGTTCATGACATCACCTGCAGATGACTGCGATGGCGTGGACACGTCCGCTCTGGCGTCTAAAGACGGTCAACCGGCAACGCCCGAGCATGGTCAGTTATTGCACGGCTGCTCTTGTGAGTTTCAAAAAAGGAACTCCGCTAATTGAACTGCGGTTTGTGATGCAGGCAAACAGTTTCTTAAGGTCTATGACGGCGACGACGGCCTCAGGCGCGGTCACTTCCGTCTCGTCTCCATCGTCAGAGCCACCAGGAACCAGGAAGTTCTGGTAGAAAACACAGCATGTCTGTCATCATCACGAAGATCAACAAACAATAACAGTCTCATTGAATACTTTATATCCAATCTCAGTCACAAATAAGACATGTCAACAACCAGTCGGTAAGCATGTGTCAATCAAATATGTAAGATGCTCATCACGCCAGCGAGTTGAATTTCCCTTCCTTAAAACTGTTACGACGTCACAGACACATCCGTGAAGGTGCCAGTAAGAAGTCGGGCACTTGAGCTGGATGTCAGTTGCTCTTAAATCATGTCAACAACCTATCAGTCACATGACGGTAAACAATCAAGTAAACGTGTCTACAAACACATCCATTGTATATCAATAAGATGCTCAACATGCCAGGAAAGGAGTCAGTTACATTTCAGTCACATTTCACTCGGAGATGTCATTTCAGCAAACGCCACGTGCCAGAGTTTGTGTCATGTGCCAGTAACGCATCTACAAACATGTCAATCGCATATCAGTAAGATCTCTGTTACTTCCCTAATGTCAATTAAGGTGTTAGCCGCACATCAATACAATTGATTGAAGGTGTTTTAAGAGTTAGCAATAACATGTCAGTCACATGTCAATGAGATGGCAGTAAAGGTGCTATGTGCATGCCACTGAGATGTGTCGGCGTCACGGCACAGGAGGCGGCGTTGCGGGCCTTCTACCTGCCAGACGACCCTCAGCATTTCCAGCTGCAGGAGGTGGGCGGACTTGAGCGTCTCCATAGCGACGATGTCCTGAACCGGAACAGCGGCTCGCTGAAAGACGGAGGTGACGCCTGGATGCTGAGGGCCAAACGGGGCAACGCTGAGGTCATCAAAGTGTACGGCGGCGTCACCAGGTTAGGCTGCTTCTTTTTCAAGATGGCGCGCGCACTCGCGCAAAGTCAACAACAGTGTGTGGGTGTGCATTTTAGCCCCAGATCGGATCACGTCAGCGTGTCTGTGTCTGAGGACAGCACGGCGGCATCTGTCCTCACCGAGGCCCTCGAGCAGCTGGAGCTTAATGTACGTTACCTTCAGCACAGAACCTTCCGCAACAAGAAGGAGGCGGTCACATGATAACAACAAAGTCCTGCTATTCCTTACAGAAAGACGGCGTGACACAATTTGACTTGCAGGAAGTACTCATGAGCAGCAAACAAGGTCAGTGACCCCCATGGCCTCTGGCTTTTTTTCCCAGTTACAAAGTACACTAAAGGTCACGACTTCTGTGTGTCCTCAGTGCAGAAGCAAACGCTGACACCGCAGCAGAACATTCTGGCCAAACTGCATGACATCAGGAAGGTCAGTCATGGAGCAATTGTTATTGATGTTACCATCAGCTAGCATCAGCATGGATTGCCTTTTGCCAGTGAATGAAACTGTCACCGCTGGTGTCAATCAAGTCAGTCACATCAGCCACGTCGCTGTTGACATGTCAAGAAAAATGTTAGTTAAATGTTGAACATGCGTTATTAGATACGTAAAATATATGTTAACATGTGTTAACGTGAACCTATCTGAGTCAGAAAGATCAAGTCAATCGCGTTTCAGGAAACAAGTCACACCCCTAAAATGTTAAGCATGTGTTAGAAAACATGTCAGCAAGGTTTCAGATGTCTCAGTCAAACAATGAGTCACTTGGCAGCAAATGTGTCAGTACAAGTTCGTTAGGTGTCAGGAAACATGCCAGTGAAATGTCAGTTGCATCGGGAAATGTGTCAGGAGTTAATATCCATGCCCATGTCAATAGCTTGTAAGTCATGTCAGTTATATATCAATTTTGTCACTGAATGTGATTAAAATGAGTCGCGTGCCAGGGACACGTAGCCATAGCATTAGCATAGATTGTCTTCTATCGACGAAGGAGACGTCTATTTTGTGGGCACTTATATCACATGTTCCGCATGTGTGTGCGTCCGTGGGTTTTTCCCCAGACGTCTTTGTGGCAGATGAACCAGACACGCTTCTATGTGGCGGAGAGGCGGAGCCAAACGGTGCAGGTGAGCCTGCTGATTGGAGGGATGCCACCCCTGCTGTCCAAAGAGCAGTACTGGAAGCTCGTGCAGGAACAGCTGAGCGCTAAGAGTGAGCGCACACAAGCGTGCATGCACACGTCATGATATCAGGGTCTTCATGACACCATGACTTCATCTTCGTCTTGTCTGCAGGTCACCTGGCGGACATCAGCCACGTGTATGCAAGTCAAGGTGAGATGGTCGCCAATGTGACCAGGCCATAAATGATATCACTCTTGTGCGGTACACGTGTGTGTGTGTGTGTGTGTGTGTGTGTGTGTGTGTGTGTGTGTGTGTGTGTGTGTGTGTGTGTGGGTGTGTGTGGGGGCGC